CCTTCATTTAACTTCACCTCTTACATGCATTTGGCTAAAGATGTTATTTCTAACCAAATGTTTTTACTTCTTAAAAAGCTGTTCTCTTCGTCTAACTCAAAATGTCTTCTGATGAATACTTCTAACTTTCTCACTACTACTTTTTATGATGATATTTGAGCTCCTAGATGCAAGAAAATGATTCAAGAAAAGAGGAAAAATAATATCTCTATGAGACTAAAAAAGAAAAAGATCAAAATTAAACGTCTTACAAATATGAAACTTTCTAATAAAACAGTTTCAAATAGCTGGATTACTTGGTGCATTTCAACTACAAAATTTGGTTTCTCTTAGTTCGACTTCTTGGATAGGTACTGACAGTTTCATTTGAATATCTTGTTGATGATTTAATCATCAAATATGGATTTTTTGGTTTTTCTGAGGGATGTTCTGGTGATTGGTCAATCTAAACGGATTTGTAATAGAATCACAAGGGATAATCATAGTTTAATTTTTTATTGTTTTTACTTTTAATTTTATTTCTTTCTCATCTAATGTATTTGTAATATTTTAACATAAATATAATAAACTCATAACAGTACCACATCGTTAAAAAAAAAAACGCCATTAACAAAATTAAATATGTTTACATAGTTAATGTAGTTTACTTAGTTAAACTTGTTAATTAAGTTAACAATGTTTACAAGGTTTCTGTAGTTTATTAAGTTGTACTTTATCTTAATTTAGTAATAGAATTAGATCCAAAGTTTTGTATAAATAGGATAGGAATTTCATATATTCTCATTAGTTAGTTTTTTAGTCAATAGTTAGTTAGTTTTTAGGCAGTCTTGAGTGAATTACAAGTCAGATAATTACTTAATAAGTGAGATCAAGCTAGATAGTCTTGATATTAATTATTAGATAATTACTCTAATATAGTTATAATATAATTTAGTTTATTGTTTATTCTTTAATTTTATAAGTTCGCGAACAAGAGCTTATTTAAATTATTAAATAGTATTGATCCCAATTTCTCTAATTAATAAACCAACCTTTTACCTTATAACTTTAATTAGTTAAACTTGTAATATAAAACCCAATCCATCATTATTGCTCTCCCATATATAAACATATACATTGATTATAGTGATTTACATTAATAATTCTATTGACGTCAACAAGACTTTAGAATTGTTAACATAAATTGTTATCCTTTAGATACCTAAAATGTTGCTATACACGTTGAAGTTTATTTTTCAGTTAGTAGATTTCACAATCGACTTGTATAACAACAGTTAAAAGAGATGAAAGAAGTTCAAGTATTAATTAATAAATTAGATTTTGATAATCCTTTTTCTGCCAAAGAATTTGTTAAATATGATAAGTCTGAAATTATGGATGAAATGATATCTGATGAAGAAATTTTAAAAGTAGTTTTATCTAATCAAGAAGACAAAATAGCGAAAGATACTTTATCACTAATAATTACTTCTGGAGAAGTTATTGAAGCTTATGATAAAGTAATTTTATATTTGGAGTAACAAGAAAATCTTTTGATATGAAAAAAGAAGAGTTAAGGTCTATTAAAAGCTTAGAAAAAAAGCTTTAAAACAATAGTTTGTCTCTTTAAAACAAATCAATCTTGATAATTTTATTACTATAATAAATAAAATAATAATTTAAAGGTTATATAAAAATAGTTAATAACTATAGATGCCTACTGAAACCTCCTCAAAATAATTTCGTCATACCCTTTTCTATGTTTTTAATATAGTTTTAACAGTTTCAGCTTTCGTCGTATCGAAAGGGTTTCGTCGTATCCCTTATTATGATTTTAATATAGTTTCATCTAAATTTCAACTGTTATTAAGGGGTTTCGTCCCTCATCATTATTAATAACATTTACAGTTTATTTTTTTTACTTTTTATAGAATAAAATAACATCATGATTATAAGAAATTTTGATATTAACTAAATAATACCTCTATGATTATGTTAGAATCTTGTTGAAATTTTGTTAAAATTATATTGAAAAATCACATTATTTTTATTAATTTTTAACCAATTTTTGTTAAACTTGTGTTGAAATTGCTTATTGATTTTTTACTAAATTATGATGAATAATTTTATAATGATTTTTATTTATCACTAAGGTGATAATTACTTATTGCAGATCTACTTTAATTATCTGATGTATTATTTATTAATTTGCGTAAGTTATATTTAGATTGATCTAATTTTTATAAATAATACGATGTATTATTATTTTAACTTTTTATTTTTAATACAAATTAGAATTTCAATCACGAAGAGTTCTTATTGTATTATTTCAATCATGAGTTTTGCTTATTATATTTGAATTGATGTATAATTATAATATAATGCTTAAATTATTATTTTAATTTTTTGCTTTTAATATAAATCAGAATTTCAATTAAGATTGTATTATTTTAATTATAAATAAAGAATTTTACATGATATCAAATCAAATAGATAAATTTATTTATAAGGGAAGTATTTTACCATTGTATAATTTTTTACCTTTTGAAATTTAAATTCACCTTTAAATCACTTTAATTTACTTTTTTAAATCTTTTTAAATTAAATGTAAAATGATCACAAGAATAATTTAGAAAGACAACAAAATTGATTTATTAGTCAATAAAAGAAGGAGGAGAAATGAAGAGTATCATATTAGATATAAAAAAAATAAAATGGGATTCTAGAGAAATGTAACTTGATGTATAAATCGAAGATATGATATAATATATTAAACTCACTAATGTGAGTTAAAATAGAGAAATTTAGTATGTAATTATAATGTAAGTAAATAAATGAATAACAATAAAATGATAAATATAATTTCAGTATAATTAATATCTTTTAAAAATTTTGCAATTATTGAAATAGAGTGAGAAAAGATAAAAGGTGAACTTATACTGCAGAAAGATTATACAACCTCTTTAGACTTAATTTTAGAATAGGTCAAGTAATATTAAAAATGTTTAAATGATTTTTAGATTTATATTAAATATATTTATTTTTTTAGAATTAAGGCATATTTAAAAGAGAAATTATAATTTGTTTACTACAAAGCAAATCTGAAATATAAGGCAAAATCTTAATATACCTGTGAGGTAAAACTAAATACATGATAAAATCATAATGTATCTGCAAAGTCTGCAAAACAATAAAAATTTCATTTTTTTATTTTATTCGTTTTAATTTCATTTTTTCTTTTTATATCATTTATTTAATTTTATTTTTTTATTTTATTTTGTTTTTTTAATTTCATTTTTTCATTTTATTTCATTTTTCTAATTTTATTTTTTCATTTTATTTCATTTTTCTAATTTTGTTTTATAGTTTTTTTATTTATTTAATTTCATTTTTTCATTTCATTTTATAATTTTGTTTTAGTTTTTTAATTTCATTTTTTCATCTTGTTTTATTTTCTTTTGTTTTATTTTTATTTTTTATTTTATTTTTATTTTATTTTAAAAAAATAATAAATTAAAATTTTTTTTAAAAAAAATTTAAGTAAATTAATAAAACTGTTATACAATGATTAATAAATTGTATATTAAAATAAAATGACTAGAATTTACAAAATAACATAAAAATATTTCTGAAAAAATTATATTATAGTAAAATTATATTTGTGTAATAAAATCAGAAATCATAGTTATTATCTACTATAATAAATTATTTGTTATACATACTGAATAATTCATTATAGCATTAACAAAGATTCTTATAATAAAGGCTTAATCAGCTAGATCAGTAACTTCATTATATCAAGCTGACTGTATATAAATAAATCAATAGAACAAAAAAATATAATAAGAAAAGTTAATGATGATAAAAGCTTACTCAAAGACTTATATTCAAGTTTATAAAAAATATATATAATTTATTACATAATATTTTTACATAATTTGATTGTATAGTTTATGTATTATCTATATATATAATGATTATATATTTGTAAAATAACTAGTCATATTAAAGATGAATCCTAAAATACTAAATGAGTATAAAGATAAACTTATATAATAAAAGAAAAGGTTGAAATATTAGATGAAAAATGATCAGAAGTTTAAATTATGTTAAAATTTTTTTTAATTGGTTAAAATAGATGAATTTAAATCCGGCCAAAATTCAATTTTCAGCCAGAATTAAGATTTTTATGATTGCAAATTATTGTCTAACTCTGGCCAAATTTATAATACTAATCAAAGTTAATTTTAACCGGTTATTAACTGGTTAAAGAATTTTCAGCCGGCTTCAGGGACAATGATTTTTTGTGGTGATATAAAGTAAATTTTGTGTGTGATAAAAATAAATTCTGTGAAATTTTGTGATTTGGCCAGATTTAAGCAAGGTTGGCCAACATTACGACTCGTAAATTCTGCCCAAATTTAGTGTTTACCAGAATTACAATGATTGTCAAATCCTAAATTAGGCCAAAAACTTGAACCAAATTTTGTGATTTTCTGTGAAATTCTGTGATCACAATAAATCATTGTCACTGCCTCTAGTTTATTTAAACCAAATTGAGTAGAACTTGTATCCTTGGTTAGAGAAAATCAATGCAAAGCAATCACAATCAAATTGTATATAACATTTTAAAAGAAAATTTTGATTCAATAAAACAAGATGATGCTATCATGCTTAGAGAATCATGTCATATCAGAAAAAGGTATTGTTATAAGGCATCATTGCTTTTTGTAATAATTGAATTGTTTCTTTAGAAACAAGAAATCTCATCTAAAAAGAATCAAATCAAAGATATGAAACTAGAAATTCAACATTAGATATGATTTAAAGGTTATTATTTACAATTTAAATAAATATATTAAGTATTTTACAAATATCTTTACTCGTAGCATTACCTTAGCAAGAACTTTTCAAGTCTAGTCTTGCCGATTCTCGACAAAGAAAAGATTAGGAGAAAAGAATTTTTAATTATTATCAGTATAGAGAACAAGTTATTAGCAGCTTGATAATGTTCAAAGATAATGGTCGTATAAAAGGATTATATGTGAATTCGTCAGAGCGGAGCGTTCTATAATTTGTTTTGCTGAAAATATTATTTATTATAATTTTTAATTAGGATCGTTTGGGTAAACTTGGTGTCATTGATGATAAATACAATGTTACAATTTCAACTTCTTTTCCTGCATTGAACGACATCGTAGGTGATTCTGTTGAAGTGAAAAAAAAAACTTGAATAGAATATCTTGAAAGAAACAATTTAGGTTGCACCACGTTCATTCTTTGGAATAAACTACCTATCATGGACATGCGCCCGATACAAACACCCGAAAATGTTTCCCGTCTTTTTGATCTTATTAGGCCGAAAGATGACATGTTTATCCCAACATTCTATAGTGTTTTACAAAACACTTTGGTTGCCCAGATTCTATAAGCGAGTAGGGTCGCAATTGGTGAAACTCGATGGCGCGTAGTGACTTTAAGAGTGAATTGATTGACGAATTTGGCATTACAAGTGGCAGAGGTTAAGAGTTGAAAATTCAGAACTTTTTGCCGACATAACTTCCGAGAAAATAGCAAAATTTGCAAAAAAGACCATAGCCACTTTGAAGTGCAGTGGAATGAATTTAATGAAAATCTTAGATCTTAATGAACTTCCTTAATTAGAGTTTGAACTATCGAAGTTAGAGATGGATCTAGTGCTTGCGCAAAATGTATTATCAATACTGAAAAATGAGTAGCCAAGTTAATGAATGCATAGAAATGTATTTTCCCAATAAATTCTTGGTAAGGTTAAAAGTAATCATTTTTTTTTCCTATAAGGCAACAAAATAATCCAGATACCAGGCGTATGACTAGTAATAACTAATGCATTTTTGTAATATTAGATATATAGATTTGTTTTATTAAAGATGATATTTTTCGCTATATTAATCTTTTTGTAAAGCAATTAAAATTTTAATGCAAAAAACAAATGATTAAAAATTATTAACTACAATATTACTTCGGTCAAATTGCGCCGTGATGGAATGACAATATTCCTACACTTCATAATGAAGATATTTTCTTGTTTCTTTTTAAAATTTTTATTTTATTATTCTAGGATAATTGTTCTGATATCCAGTGACTGTTCTATGGTTCAAACATTTTTGATAAAAAAAAATGCATTTAAATATTACTATCTTTGCTTCGCTTAAAGTTATTGTTTTTATTGTGTAGCCGCATTGCGTAGTTATCATAAATTATTTGTTTAAAAAAAAATTCTAAATCAGACATCCATTATTATGATTAATGAGTGGTCGAATGGCATTAGTATTTGAACCGTCGGATCTATAATGTGGTTTAGTAATTGATTTATTACTTAAGGAAGTTTATTATTTGATTGAGAAAGAATAGAGCGGAAAGTTGATGTATCATAGGAATTACAGGTATTATTGCTAGAGAATGGTTCACATCGAAGGGGTGGCGTAAGATTTCCTGACTATAATAAAATAATTTTAATATGTACACATAATATTTATTTAGATTTTAAATTATATGTACTTACTCCAGAATTGGTAATAAA